AACATTAAAAAAAGAAAAGACTATTCTTTCCCCTTTGTTTGTTCTTAGTGCCCTTGCCAAAGATTAGTTGACCAAATGCATGTGCCTTTATTTCTGGGCTCTCTATACATAGTTCCATTGGTCTATGTCTATTTTTATGCCAGCATCATACTGTTTTGATTACTATAGCTTTGTGATGTAGTTTGAAATCAGAACATGTGATAGCTCCAGCTTTGTTCTTTTTTTTCCAGGATTGCTTTGACTAATCAGGACCTTTTGTGGTTCCATACAAATTTTAGGATTTTTTTTTTCTATTTCTGTGGAAAATGCCATTGTAATATTGCTAGGAATTGCAATGAATCTGTAGATGGTTTTGGGTAGTATGAACATTTTAACAATATTAAGTCTTCTGATCCATACACATGGGATGTCTATTGATCTGTGTCTTCTTCATGTCTTGCATCAATGTCTTACAGTTTTCAGTGTGTAGATTTTTCACCTCCTTGGTTAAATTTAATCCAAGTATTTTATTATTTTGGTGTTATTGTAAATGGGATTATTTTCTTCATTTCTTTTTCAGATTGTTTATTGCTGGTGCATAGAAATGCAATGTTTATTGCTGGTGCATAGAAATGCAACTGATTTTAGCATATTAATTTTGTATCCTGCAACTTCACTGAATTTATTAGTACTAACAGTTTCTTTTAAAAAAAAAAAAGTATATATACCTGTATTGATTTCAGAGAGAGGAAGGGAGAAGGTGAGAGACAGAAACATCAATGATGAGAGTCACTGGTCAGCTGCCTCCTGCATGTCCCCTACTGGGAATCGAACTCACAACCGGGGCGCTGTGCCCTGACCAGGATCATAGGTTGATGCTCCACTACTGAGCCATGCCCAGCCGGGCACTTCTAACAGTTTCTTGATGGATTCTTTAAGGTTTTCTCTGTATAAGATCATGTTATCTGCAAACAAAGACAATTCACCCTCTTCCTTTCGGGTTTGAATGCACTTCATTTCTTTTTCTTGCCCAATTGCTCTGGTTAGGACTTCCAGTACTGTTTTAGATTTTCTTGTCTTGTTCTTGATCTTAAAGGAAAAGCTTGCAACCTTTTACCATCGACCATGATATTGGCTGTAGACTTGTCATATGGCCTTTATTATATTGAGCTTTGCCCCTTCTATAACTTACTTGTTGAAAGGTTTAATCGTGAAGGATGTTGAATTTGTCAAATTCTCTTTTGCATCTATTGAGATCATGTAAATTTTTATCCTTTGTTTTGTTAATATGGTATATCACATTATGGATAGGTGTGTCTCCCTCTGGGTCCCTGGATGGGTGATACTGCTCCTGAACTAGGGCTAAGAGGGGCTAGAGTTGGATCTCAGGCTACATCAGGGTCCACAACCAGAACCAAATTCAGTGGGCCTGTTACTTGGGGCACGGGCAGGCCTGATTCTTGCTGGGTCCCTCGGCAGACGCTGCTGGTGGCAGGACCAAGGTCAAATGGAGCTGTAGCCAAGTCCACAGGGGGATGGTCTGTTTCTGGATCTGTGGCTGAGTCTGTTATCTGGGGGAAGCTGACTCAAAATAGCCCTCCTGCCCGGCTGGGGGTGGCTCAGCGGCTGAGCATCGACCTAGGATCCAGGCGATCGGGGTTCGATTCCCGGTCAGGGCACATGCCCGGGTTGTGGGCTGCAGCTGATCAATGACTCTCTCATCATTGATGTTTCTATCTCTCTATCCCTCTCCTTTCCTCTCTCTGACATCAATAAAGATATAAAAAAATAAAATAAAAAAATAGCCCCCCTTAGTTTTGCGCGCAACCAGGGTTTCTAGTCTTCTACCTAAATCCCAAAGGTCCCACAGAAGCACTTCTGTCCATGGATGGCTGCCAAATTATTGTTGCTGAGGGAGGATATGATGGGGAATCTCCTATTCTGCCATGTTGCTGACATCACTTCCTGGTCCTCAAATCTCCTAATGGCACAGAACATGTGGCTATGGCCTGTCCCAGGTCTGGGGGGAATCCACTCCAGGGGGAAATGGGGCTGCAGTGGTTGTTGGGTGCTGCTTTTTTCCATTCCCCCTGAATTATCCTTTGGGCTATATCTCTAGGATTCCAGTTGACACTCAAACCTGGGAACCCACACAGTGGCTTTGTGTAAAGTGGAAAGAGGTGTCCTGGAGGTAGGGGGAGGAATTACAGAAGAGGTCCCCTTGGCTGGATCAAAAACAAAGAGGAATTGTTCCTGGCAGCCTCCACAGCCATGGTGGCTGGTGGCCCGTGGTGCCCAGAGTTCCCTCTCTCAGGGAATGGTGCTTCTGACTATCCAATTTTACATGCCTGTAGGCCCATTTGACATTCCAGTTGTCCCCTCTCCCTTACCCTGCCCTCAGTATTGATCATTCCTATTGAATTCATTCTTTGGAATCACCCTTCTCTGCATGCTGAACAATGATCATCTCTTGCCTGGAGTCCTGCCACAACTTCCTCAAGCACTCTTCCCAAATCCACTCAAAATCCCTCCTTCCCACTCCTATTTTCCAACACTCCAGCCAGAGTGACTTTTGAAAGCACAAATGTGATCATATTCAACCCTGCCCCTGCCCCTGCCCTGAACCTCGTTAAGGGCTACCCATTCATTATGTTTAGGATCAGGACGAAACTCATCCCTTGGCCAACAAGGACCTGCACAGCCCCTATCCTAACTACCTTTTCCACCACATCTCACCACCTTTCTCCTCAGAGCACTAGCACTGCAATGGCTGTGTGACCTTGCATGTGTGGCTTAATCTCTTTGAACTTTATGTTCACAAAGAAGAGGGATTAAAATAAGACGTGCCTGGCTCAAGGCATGGTAACTCAACATGTGGTAATAAGATCATTTCCCAAGTCACACTCTCTGTTAAACCCTTTACAAGCTCTACTTCATTGAATCCTCCCCAGATCCTCATGAGCTGTGAGTATGAAGCCTCAGCAACTCACCATAGAAAAGCCTGGATACAAAGCCCAGGTCAGGCCTGCTTCTACAGCCCTGTTCTTATAAACAAGTGTGCTCAGTTTTCTAGGTCTTCTCCTGGGCAACTAAGGGCTTCATGAATAATTCACTTTTCTCTATCCTAGTGACATCTTCAGGAACAGAACCATTCTGAAGGATTCCAGGTTTTGCTTAAGGTGGGCATTGCCTATTTTTGAAGAAGTGGCCTTTGAGATCTTTGCAAATGCCCGGTGTACGTACATCTAAGTGGTTCCCCATTTCAGGTGCCATCCAGGCCAGAGTATACCTCCCTCCCTTCCTATAAAGCCCCCACCAACGTTACTTCAGCCTAATTAACTTCAGAAACTTCCACTAGATTCTTGTATAAACTGATTGTCAAGGAGAAGGGTCCTCTGTGGTCAGGAAGTCACCCTTCATTGGTAGACAGTTATTTTTGCCTATTTCAAGCTATTTAATTTTTTTTAAACCATGGTTAACCAGCTAGGTGTGAATATTAACACCTTCCTCTATTTGAGCTTCCTGGGCAGCAAAATGAAAAATAAATAAATTTGAAGCATTGAGAACAAAAAAAGAGAAGTCAACAACTCTAACATAAGCACAGCTATAATTTTGATTGGTTTAATTTCTGATCATTACTTAATCATCAGTAGTTTGGAGCCAAGCAGTGTGAAGGCCTGGGCAGGAAGGAGCAGGCAAAGCCATACCTGGAAGAGAGCTACAGGCAAGGATTTTGTGATACTTTGGAATAATATGAAAAATACCACCCTACGTTTATCTGCTTTCCTGTCAGATGCAGAATGTTAAAAATTCTTACATAGTTAAGTGTATAGATTCGGCTGTGATTGAGGTAGAGGGATAGAAGGCATGGCTCTCTAGACTCCCCCCTCCCCTCCCCACCCCCACTTCTCTCTCAGGATTTTTGTGGTTAGTGTTTGGAACCCCTCCTTCCCCCCATATGAGCAGACTCAGGTGTTTTGGATTCCAAATCCTGCTTTGGTCTCTTTCCAGCCATGTGACCTTGCTGAGCAATTTTCCCAATCTCTTTGGACTTTTCATCTCTACATAGGCTATAGCTCATTTGCATTATCAATCTTTTCCAGAGGACCTTCTGTGGTTCTTCTTTGGAATTTAAGGCACTTTTCCTGGAAAGGAAACCAGTGACCAGCCTCAGCAGAACCCGAGTGTTAGTTCTAGAAGGGATTTTAACTCAACGAGGTTGCCCAAGGTTGCACAGCCGGTCGCTGCTCCAAATCAGGTTTTTATTGTTGGCAAAAGGGAAATGAGCAGGAAACTTATGGTAAAGCATTTTCTTTTCCAAACGAAAATAGTTCCATCGTCTTGTGTTTGGATGCTCAAAGGAATTCTTGCTCAGTGTAAACAACTCAGGAAATAGAGGTGAGTATAAAGAAGAAAAATGAGAAGTAATGGTGATGCCAGTAAGCGGAAGTAACGTTCCTGGGCATTGTCCATAATTTGCGATTTCTTTTCCCCACGAGTACCCACAAGCACGCAGTTATACTATATAAATATATTATGTCCACATTCATACTATATTTATAAGTTTATATAGGCACATTATATGGCATATAACATAACATTAATTACAAGTAAAAATATATCACATATAACTAACATTTTTTCCCACGCGCACGCACTCAAGACTGTATTCATGACACTGGAAACCGGTGAGTACCACATATTTTTGGGGGGAACCCCTCCAGAGCGGAAGCCAGTAAGCTCCTGCCCGCTCCCGGAGCACATGAACTACAAGGCCCAGCAGCCCCGGGCGCGAGCAGGGCGACCGGAGTATGCAGAGACTACCAGTACCGGCAAGCAAGGCGGAGACGCCAGGACTACGAGTCCTAGAATGCACCGCTCGCGGTTCGCGCAACGCCCTCCGGGATATGTAGTCGTTGAGGGGAGCTAATTCCTATTCATTCAATCTCAAAGAAAATACAAATTCCTTCAACGGCCCACCAACGCGATTTACAACCGGCTAGCGAGAAGCGCAGGCATACCATCGGGAAGTAAGAACTCTTCGGGGTCCAAACTGTGGCGCTGGAGTAGGACGCGTGCGCATGCTCCGTGGTCACAAGAGCGGGGCTTAGCGAGCGCTGCAGGCCTGGAGTGGC